GGGGTAAGAGGTTCGGATTCTGGGGTAGAGGGGATTTAGGGATTCAGGGTTTAGGGTGCGGGGTTTTAGGGTTTACAGAGTCCAGGTTTAGGGTTTAAGGGTTTAGGGTTTAGGAATGTAGGATTAGGGGTTTAGGTTCAGGGTTTGTGACAGCAGATAGCAATGCACCTCCTATGTTTTTTGTATCACCCCATCTTCCCAGCATCTTTCTTCATTTGGCATTTATGCTTATTGTTTCTTCGCTCGCCACGTGTGCGTCTGCTAGATCCCAACTCTATACTCACCTACTCACCTTAACATCGAACGTTGTACTAACTATGTAGTTACCGAGCCCGCACTGAAAAAATCAGCGGATGCAGCAACGCTGGTACCATGCCCATTTTCTTCGGAATAGAAAGCCGCAATAGGCTCCAGGCCACTCCTTGAAAGGCGGACAAACCTGGAGCCCGCTTCTCCATTGCCAGGGTAGCGGGTTTCTGATGATGCATCGGGAGAGACAGGGGCTACGTCTTCAAGTAGATCGAGTCAACATTCACTGAACATGCATGAGCTATCGTCTACAGTCCTCCAAAGGTTTATGGTCTAGAGTTTGGGGTTTAGGGTTAGGGTTTAGGGTTTAGGGTTTAGGGCTTCGGTGAGTGGAGGGGACGCATGCCAGTGATCATTTGTCCCATAAAGCAGCAACTCCAACAAAATGGTCCTTGTAATTCCATCCCCCGTTGCTACCTACTTGAGGGTTCATGGGACCCGGCAGCTGGTGGTGGCTATGAGTGGGGTATAATTTTTGCATATAATGGCTCAGGGAACATTTATATTACATTTTTTTAGGGGTGTACATATTCAGATCCCACAACACTATAAGCTTTCACTGCGTCCTATGAAACTTCAATCGGGACTTTTTCCAAGTAGCCCCCGTAAATCAGGATACAAGGGGGCTCCTACAGCCTTCCCATAGTCCCTAAGCCCTAACACTCCAAGCTGAAAGTACCTTCCGCTAAACTAAGCCATATAGATTATTCTGAAAGAGGACAGTAGTCCATGCCAGCTACAGATTCAACTAAACCCTAAACCCCTAAACCCTTAACCCCTAAACCCCAAACCTTAACCTCTCCCCTCCCTAAACCCTAATCCCTAACCTCTCCCCCGCCCCCAGAGCATTGGGGGGAGGTTATTAGCTGCCAGGTGTGAGCGCGCACGTGCAAGAGGAGCTTGTGGGCGTACGTCGAGTTGTAGCAGCAAGGTTGAGGGCTTGGGGTTTCGGACCTTAATTTAAGTTACTATATTGATGAAGGCCTATGAATTACTATATATATATATACCCATTATGGTACCTCATATTTCGTTCCTTAACAGCAACCCAGTTTAGGATTTCATTTAAGTCGCTATGTTGGGGAAGCCTTATTACCCTAAGGCTCCTAGGACTATTTGGGGCTTTCTGGGGAAGGGGTTTGGCGGCTAAGGGGGCTAAGGTTTGGGGTCCCATTATGAAGGTCCACGAGTCTTAGGGTAATTATGGTAACTTAGATTAAGTTCCTTAATAGCAACCCAGTTTAGGGGTTTTGGGCTTAGGACTGACGATCGAAAGGGTTGAGGTATTTGTCTTAGGTGTCATCTTTATATATTCGAAAATCTAAAGTAGTTCAATCCGTCTGACTTGTTCGGAAAGACCTACTCAGGGGTGAAGTTGCTTCAAATTGAAACTGGCGTTTTGGAGTTGAGGGTTATTAGGGCTGCGACGAGGGACGTGGGGAGTACTCCAAGAAAATGCACCTCTTGGGTATGGCTACTGTTTGGTCACAGCAATCGTGTGAACGAAGTGATGCTATGCGTCATCTAACCGCTGAATCCTTCAACGTGGTTTTGAGCCCTCTTTCTGTTACCTAGAACGCCAGAACCTTAAACCCTTGCGGCTTGCATCTAAACCTGGCTAAAACTCTGAGACCCTGGCAGGTATGCATTCGCAGCTCTGCGCCACGACGGCTCTGTGATAACTTGGGGAAGCGGCTCGCTTCACAAAAAGGTGGTTTCGGAAGCTTTTTGTAGGTTCAGAATAATTCGTTCTGACCCTATGTTAGCCGTCGTTAGTATATGAGGGCATAGGATGGAGGTACCTAGTTAGGTTTCAAGCACAAGTAATTATCAAGCGGTTTTGATTATAATTACCTTGAACCTCCAAGTAGGGATACATCAAAAGTCTGAGGCCAACGCAGGGGTCCTTTGCGACTCACTCCACCCTAAACCTTAAACCCTGAACCTTAAACCCAAAACCTTAAACCCTAAACCCCTTATGGCCATTGCTCTGCTTGTAATTGGACTGGCTGATTCTGAAGTCTGAAGGGTGCTGTCCGTAAGGGTCCAAGGACCCAAATCCCAGGGTCCCTTTAAAGGGGGTTTTAGGGGATATAGAGGAATATTAGGGGGACTATATATGAGGCTCCAACGATCCAAATAATATGGTGTTAGGGCCCAAATATTTTAATATGAATGGTATCAGGGAGCTATATCAGCATCATTTGGGTCCTTGGACCCTTAGGGGTAGAATGCAGTTAGATCTTGGTCTCACTCACGCTTTTGCGAATATCTACGGGTGCCATTCTCAGCAGATGAAGCACGATCTCAATTCGGAGGCGCGCGCATCTTACCGCCTTAGGAACCATCTGAAGCATAGTCGTCTCCGCAAGTCATACGGTTAGGGACCCGATGTTTTTGCATTATCCGCAGGAACGTGCAGGTTTTTTTTTCTGAAGTCCGGGCCGTAGAGCCTAAACTCTAAGCCAGGGGACTCTGCAAGCTTTCACACACCTAAACCCTTAAGCTCCACGCACCAAAACGGTATACTTTTGATATGCTGAAGTGCTCAAAAACAGGAACCCCTTTGGGCCCAAGTGTTGTAGAGGAACTTGGACCTGCATAGGCTCTCAGGGCTCTGTATGCGCCCCATCCTCAAACTCCAAAACCCTTAAAAACCTAAACCCTGAACCCAAATGCCCTAAACCCTAGGCCCTAAAACCCTGAACCCTACACCCTAAAACCCTCAAACCCTCAAACCCTGAAACCACCCAAAAACAACAAAAAAACTCAAGCACTGAAACCTCGAACCCTGAACTCAAGCCCTGGTTGCAGGCATAACTTCTGGTGGGAACAGTCGTGAGGTGGCGCAGCAGTTGGTTGGCGTGAAGGAGCAGCCTCCCGTGAAGCCTTGAGTTGGAGGGTTGGGGTTTAGGGTTTAAGCTTTAGGGTTTAAGGTTTAGGGTTTAGGGTTGAAGCTTTCGGGTTTAGAGTTGAAGTTTGTAGGGTTTAGGGTTGACGTTTGTAGGGTTTAGGGTTATTTTTTTAGGATTTAGGGTTGAAGCTTCAGAGTTTAGGGTTGAAGTTTTTAGGGTTTAGCGTTGAAGTTTTAGGATTTATGGTTGAAGCTTTAGGGTTTAGGGTTTAAGCCTTAGGGTTAGGGGTTTAGGGCTTAAGGTTTGCAATTATACATCAAGTGTCCACGTACCCAAGTAGCATAGTATTATTGAGGTCCCAAAGACCTAAGTAGGAACCCTGGTGCATTCACACCCTAAATCCCTAAACCCTAATCCGCAAACCCTACACCCTAAAACCCTAAAACCCTAAACCCTAAACCCTAAACCCCAAACCCTAAGCCCTAAGTAAATTTGCTCGGACCTATATACTGCCAACCCAACAGCCTAAATCCAAAGGGTCAACTTACCCAAAGGTTGGAATCGGGCTCTACCTGGGCCCCAAAAGTACGTAAAATAATGGCCTTTATGGCTATTCTTATGGGTTCAGGGCTAGTGTTATACACACTTTTGGGGCTTAGGTCGGGTTCTAGGGGTCCCTCCTAAAGTCCCTAGAAGGATGGTAATTGGCAGCCAATGTTAGGGGGGTTTAGGGCTTCCTGACTTAGTGTGTCAGCTGTGTTTAGGGCTTATGGTTTAGAGCACTCTTTTTTTAGACGGCCTACCTCCAGGCCTGCCCCTAAAGAACGAACGCCCCCACCGAAGTCGCTAGCAATAAACATAGAACAGTAATTGATTATGATACTGCCTAGGCTTAGTAGGGAATGCAGGAACACATTATATAAAGATTATGGAGGGACTATGTTCCTTTTTTTTTCCTTCCGAGCACCCAGCAAGAACATGGTGAATAATCATTTCTGTGGAGATGGGTCATCTTGCAGGTACCTACATATTTCCAAAAAAATCCAATATCCCTTATCCCACCACGGAACATACCCTACATGATATACCAGGATCCCTATATGACATAAGGTACATTCCCTAATACGTTCTGGGTTATACACTTGGGGACAGCGGCTCCTATATGGGCACTTTGGGTCTACAAGTGTAATTACATATAAGTCATATAATGTGACCTATACCCCTTCGGGTCTGTCGGGGAGCTTTCGGGCATCTCCCCTAAACCCTTAACCCCTGAACCCTGAACACTTACATACACCCTTAGGCCCTTAAGCGATTAGACCCCCGGACCCTTGAACCTCTAAATGCTACGCCCCTAAACCCCTTGACCTCTAAACCTTTCAAACCTTAACCCGTAAACTCCCAAATCCAGTCCATGTATATACTATCACCCCGATCCCAAGTACTCAATTGTTGGATGCGGTCCGAATTTTTGGTTGCAATTCTGGTTAGGACCCCCAAATGGGTTCTAGATTGCAGGGTGTAATCACGTAGAAAGGAAGCTTAAAGTTGCACTGTACTGCGGTGCTCTTGATCGGCGCCGCAACTCCTGGATACCAAGGCCTATGGTCAGCGTAAGTGTAAGAAAGGCAACAAGTCATGACGAGGCTATATCCTTCAGCATCTCACAAACTGGGCAATTTAAAGCAACCTCACTCGACCTCACCCATTTTGATGGTTTGTATCAGGAATAATACCAAAATGGCCTTAAGTTGGAAAGTGAAATTATTCGAAATTACCCTGTCAAGGCGATTCTGGGATAAAACCAGTAATTTACTCCCCCAGTGCTCAGCAGAGGAGGTGATCGCAACGGAGAAGGCCTTCGCTGCAATTCGCGACGATGGGACTGTGGTGACCTGGGGGGCAGGCAGGTTTCGGGTTTAGGGTTTAGGATTTCTCCAGAACCCCTGAGCCCTAAACCCTCAACACGAAGGGCTGCCCTAACGGACCCTAGGATGCATCATCAGAGACTACAGATACATAATGAGGGACTATAAGGAGTTTGCAACAGGAATGGCGCAGCAGAGAGAGGTCCTGAGGCCGAAGCAAATCATGCTTCACCTCAATGGTAGGCGGTCCAAACTCAGGTCCCATTTAGGATTCAATGAAAAAAGGGACCATATTATACTGATGACCCCAAAAAAGGACCACAATTCCGGCAACTTGCGAATATGCCCCGTATTTTGGACGCCCACCCTATCCTGAAAACCTCAAGCCCCAAACCCGGCCGTATACACTGACCCTCCAAGTTGAAGACTCTAAACCCTAAACCCTAATGGGGTCCAAGGCTTCAAGCCAGATTCAAAGCCATTGATGATATTGCCATGCATGCAGCCATATAGCTTTAGGGTTGAGGGTGTAAGGTTTAGGGTTTGGGGCGGCTCCCAAGTAAGTAACTAGTACCCATAATTAATGATGGCCGTTGACCCCAGCATAATGAGCGTGAAGGCCCTTGGTGTGGGTGTTTGAGAGGTCTAGGTAAGCAGTGTATTTGTATGAGCAAAAGCAATGAAGAACGGGCAGAAAGGCTGTTCGATAAAAACCTGTGAAACCCGAGGAAACGAAACCCGAAACGTTATACCCCAAGCCCCTGCTTCTGCGCACCTACAGTGGATACTAGAAATCCTGCATGACCCTAAGTGCCTCATACCTTGGCAGTAATGTTGTAGGGATATTATTGGGTAATATTAGGGATGTATCGGGCTAATGGAAAAAGAACATGGAAACTAGTATAGGGCTTCTATTATACGAGCTATAGTATACTGAGGTCATGCAGGATGTCTAGTATCAACAGTACCACGAAGAGCACCGTGCAGGCGGAGGGCTGGAGTCTGCAGCAGCAAGTGAGCAGCTGTATGGCGTTGAGCGGCTTACACCCGGTTAAAGGGGGATGGGGTGGCGAGAATATAGGGAAGGGTAAAGCATCAGATGACGCAGATTATGTCGGGAGAATCGTAGGAATTATTCCATGATTTAATCAAGATTGTGCTTGGGGATGGGCTCATCCTTCTTCACCAACACAACAAGGTGGATGGCAGCAACGGACTCAGCCTTCGCCGCTGTGCGCGCGGACACTTGGTGCAGTCAGCAGCTTGAGTTTAAGATTTATGCGAAGGCTCGAACTAGGTACCCCAGTAGTACCCTTTTGCCCTTCTTATTTTGGGGTCTCCTTATTAAAGCTGCGCAGTAGGAAAAAGGGTACCCTTATTATTGATGGGTTACTGGGGAACCTAGCAAAATCACGCAAAACCCTTTCATAATATGATCGTTGGGCCCAAAAGCCTTAAACTATGAGTCCTTAGAGTCTTAGGGTTGGGGTTTGTAGCTTGGTAGGCTGTCCTCCGCCAAACTAGCATGAATGCATGGGTTTTCTGTCATATTGGGGTGTCCACTTACTCGCCTAAAAACTCTAAGGAAACGTGATGCCCACCACACACGCTCGAAATGCAACCTCCAAAAGCGTTGCTGTACCCTATGACACTGCGAATTGTTTTTGCTGGCCTTCCCAAAAAAGGAAGCTCATTCATTGGAATCTCCATCTAGATGCCCTAAAGCCTAAACCCATTTTAACCTGCTGGGCCAAGGATGGTCATGTCATCGTTTGGGGAGATGCTGACAGCGGAGGGAATTGCGAGGCTGTCCGACCTCTGTTGCAGGAGGCAGCATCCCTCATCCTACTGGTGCTTAAGGGCGAGTGGGGGCGGGAATCTAGGTACCATAATAAGGTATATATTGGGTCATTCCCCCTCCCAGTAACTGTCCTTAAAGGGGCCTTATTAAGGGGGTTCTTATAACTCCTATAACCCATTGTGGTAACAGCTACTGTAAGGGGGAATGACCCAAGGTATATATGGGGATTCTATAGGGATTATCATGGGCATCCACTCCCCATCTCTCCCTTTAGCACCAGGAAATCAATGGAGGGTGAAGGAGGATGGGAGCGAATACAGCTTCTACCCGGAAGGGCTGTAGTCCTTGAACGACACTGTTCGGGGTGACAAGTTTCTTTGGGGTAGCGTACATATAGCCAAACTCAGGGAACCTTTTTCTTGTAGTGTAGTATACTTGGGGTTATGCAGGATTTGTCCATTGCAAGTATCCTTGAAGCAAAGCTGTGAATTGGGGGGTCTCTGGCCAAGAAGGGTCAGCTTCGATGGCAAGAGGCTCCCGGTAAGGCAACCCTAACCCAAATTCTCCGCATCCGTATTGGGTAGACGGCCTGGGGCTAATCCGCCATCAGGTTCAGGGTTGAACAGAGTTGTGATGCTAACCGCTTCTACGCAGGCTACATATGGCCTTCCTTGTAGACTTCTTTCAAGAATAGTCTTCCAAGCCCTAAGCCTTCTTATGAATCCTTCTGGATCCCTTCCAAGAAAAACACCGTGAACCCGCAGATACTATTCCTTCCTGAACCATGAAAGTATGTGACATAATTGTCTTTTGGCCTGCTTTTTTGGGGGGTTTGCAGCCATTATGCTACCTACTTTGGGGGCGTTTGGTTGTACTTAGCTACCTAGACCCCTAATTGATAGGAACTGAAGGAATGAAAAAAAGGATGGAAAGCACTGTACCATCGGGATGTAGGGGCCAGCAGGTAGTATTCTAAACCCTAAGCCCTAAACCTTAAACCCTAAACGCAAGCGTACAGCCCTGCATCGTCCCCTCGCTACCCCCCAAAGCCATATGTATCGCAGGCCATCAACCCAAACCTCTAATCCTATGTTTTGGGATTTAGGGTGCAGGTTTAGGAGTCCAGCCCTACCTGAGCCCCTAAAGTATGTAAAATGAATGTTGTTCTTTCTGTTGTTTAGGGTTTTGGGCCTATTTTTCACCAACGTATTAGGTCAGGTGTAAGCATCCAGCCCTAACTCCCAGACCCCACACCCTTCGTGACCTCCACCCTTGAACTGCAAATCCCAATTTCTGGACCTCAAGTTTCGTCGAGGTGAGGAGCATCTCTGGCAATTCGCAGGCCTTCGTCGCTTGCCTTGCAAGCGGAGGCGCAGTCACTTGGGGTCTCTTAGCTGACATGGATTCTGGCTTCGTAGGCTTTAAAGCTTACGGTGTCTCAAACACCCAAAACTCCCTCAAGAGTCCAAGGACTCAAACAATGGGACTTTGGGCCCCAACTATTATTGGGACCTAAGACCTCACTATGACATGCCTTCGCATGAAAAGCCAGGGCGGATTTGGAGAGTAGGATTTCGGGAGCCTGAGGTCGGCGGGTCTACCTGAAGGGATCCGAGGGGTCCAAATGCTGAATATTTATATACTTCCCCAAAACGTATACTACAACTATTATTGCCCAAATTCCGCGTATTCAAATACCCAAATTCCGCGTATTCAAATATTGAATACTCGGAGCCCTAGGGCGAGTATTCTGGACCCCCGCATTAGACTCTTCCACCACTGTTCGCAAGGCATAAGTTATCTACAGTCACGCAGGATTTCTGATTACAACTCGTATTATCTATGGTGGTATCTCTTACTGGAAGGACCTGTAAGGGAGAATGACCTAAGTGGCGACTGATCCACGTTTCCATGCCGTGCGCTGTTTTTTCCTGCTCAAGGCGTACTTGTGCACATGTTTTTAGGGTGCTGTATGTGCAAGTGTGCACAGGGGAAAGTAAAACTTTCTCTAGGTTACACACGCCGCTCCCCCTGTATCTTTTTAGTTTTGTTAACGTCGTCTTCAGCACGTTTGTGTGTTGCGGGAGATATCTAACGTGAGGTGCGAAGGGGATGTGCAATATTGGGGGGAAGGGAGTGGGTGGACCAAGTACAGGAAGTGATGTATACATCGCAGCCCGAAGACCCAAAGCCCAATCCATACTTCCCTGACACCTGGGCCCTAGATGTCGTTCTTTTTTGGGGGGTTCTGTCCCATAATTTTGTAGTATATGAAATATCCCCAAAAATTGCAGGATATCCAGGGTCCAGGTAGGGTGTAGCCCTGTAGCCCCTACAAACCTTAAACCCTAACCTTAAGTCCTTCTCAGTTGACATCACCTCGAGAGATGCGCAAGACAAGCCCTTCTGCCAAAGTTTCATGTGAGTATATATTACATACTTGGCCCCTAAAGTAATCACATCGGGAACCTTTTTGGGCCCCAAGTGTATGCTATATAGGCCCTAACCCTACACCCTAAACCGTGAACCCTGAACTCTAAACCCTTAACCTTGAACCCTGAACCCTAAGCCCTGAACCCCAAACCCTAAACCAAAACCCCTAAACCTTGAACCCTAAACCCTGAACCTTGCTTGTGCAAGGTTCGGCTGCGTGCGGTGGAAACAGCAGCCATGTGCAAGAACAACTCGTCAACATCCAGGAGGCTGTCGCCCCGGTTTAGGGGTTTAGGGGTCTAGGGGTCTTAGGGTTTTAGGGTTTTAGGGTTTAGGGTTTAGGGTTCAGGATCTAGGGTTTAGGGTCTTGGGATTTCCTGGACCCCAACAGTATGCCTGGCCTAAACCTTTGACTTGAATTTGGGGTCCACGTAGTCAATAGGCCTTGGGCTTCCGGCTAGGGCTTGGGAAGGAGGGTTCCGGTAACAAGCTTTGGGCATTGCGGTTTGGTTTTGGTGCTCTGGTTTGTCGGACGGCTGGTCCGGGCTCAGGGTCTATAGAGCTTTGGATTTCAAGTTCAGGGCTTGTAGGGTCTAGGGTTTAGGGTTTCGAGTTTAGGGTCGGGGTCTAGGGTTTAAAGTTTAGTGCTTTATGTCTGCACGTCCTACTTGTTTCTGCTGCACGCTAGTGACCTTTAAACTCTAGACTTCCAGACCCTAAGTCCTCACCCCATGCCCTACATGCGATACCTAGCACAGCCTCTTCAAACAGCGAAAAAAGCGGTAAGTCCATCATACCCTAAATTACAAAACCCTTGACCTTAAAACTCTACGTCCAGCAACCCACCTGGAATCCAAAGCCCCAAGCCCTGAAACTTTAAAATCCTGAGCCCCTTGAGTATGTAAAACATGGCCGTTTGGGCTGTGTTTAAGGGTTTCGGGCCATCATGTTGCACACTCTGGGGGTTTAGGATACCCAGAAAGAAACCTATCTCAACCCTGAGCCCCAAGCCCCAAGCCCGCATTGGGGTTAAGGCCCGAAACTTTAAGTCCTAAACCCTAAGCCGCAAACTCCCCAAGCGATAGACCCCGCGTCCGAAACCCTTGCTTTCTGTAAGCTCTACCTAAACCCCCAAAGAAGGTAACATAATTGTGCCCAAACCGCTCAACAGCAAGACCAAAAGACCATTGCTTCACATACTTCAGGGATGCAGGTAGACCCTAAACCCTTAGCCCTATAAATACAAACCCTAAACCCTTAACATCCCTTAACACCAAAGCCTAAACCCTAAACCCTTAACCCTAAACCCTCATCCCGGAGCCTGGGAGGTTGCTTGCTCCCACTCCGCGTTCGCTGCATTGCGCGCGGACTCTCGGCAGCAAAGCTCAGGTTGAGGGGGTTAAGGGTTTCTAGGGTTTAGGGTAGAGTTTGCTAAGGTCATAGGTGGTTCAGAATTTGGGTAGTTTAGGGTTCAACGTGTCGCGCAGGGAAAGTGGCGCGAAGCCAAGCAGTAAACATGAATCCCAGTCCGTCCCAAATGGAATGGTAAGGGAACCGACACCGCGCGCCCCAGTGTAGAAGCTCTTAATTCGGGTATGAGGAACGCTTGAGATTGACATGCTTATGGGATGTGGTAGTGACTTGCAACTGGGCTTACGACCTCGTTGACAGTTCCCTTACCTGCCCTTGTAGGACTAGCCCGACGCCAAGTCTCACTTTTATGAGCTAGAGTCTAAACTCCTCAAAGGCGGGTGATATGGGGAGCTACATAGGGAACTACTATAAGGGTTATGAAGGGGGATACTAAGAAATCAGGCTACAGTATGACGAATACGCGATTCGAAATCCTAGGAACCTCCAAGAGCCATCCCCCACAGCGAGAAGACTTGTCGACCAACTGCCCAAACGTGATTCCAGAAGCTTTGCTAATCTTAAACCCCTTAAACAGACCATGAACCCTAAACCCTAAACTTTAACAGACCATGAACCCTAAACCCTAAACTTTAGCCCCCCCCCCCTAAATGGACCGTGTGCGTTGTATACCAAAAGCCCTGAGAAGCCTTGACTCACCACCTGAGCCACACAGTAGCATTGCAGTATTGCAATATGTGGTTTGAAGTAGTCATATGTATATATATATGGTTTAAAGTAGTCAATATATATAGATATATATTTGTGGCTTAATAAAGTAGTAATATATACATATATATGGTTTAAACTTTAAAGTAGTAGTACATATATATATATATGGTTTGAAGTAGTAATATAGACATGAAGCAACTACCATCTCTGTGCACATTGAATGCAAGGGGGGCGGGGGATTCGTCCAGGATGGTCGGATTATCACCTGGGGAAGTGCCGCAGCTGGCGGTGACTGCAAAGAGGCGGACCGGACTCGGGTTTCGAGAGCTAGGGTAGATGACTTAATAAATGCGCTATCTTCAAACGATTCGCCTTTTTTGGGGACCCTAAACCATAAACCCAGGTCTTCTTAGCAAAGGGTCTTATGGCTCGAGACAGATTCTTGTCCTTATCAAGCAGAAGGGAGTTTTGCACGACCTGCCTGGCTTAGCGAAGTAGCACCACAATGAAAGAGCATCACCTGTTCCTTTTGCAGTGATCTCGTGTTTCGACGTAGAACAACAACAACGAACATGTGGACTTGGCAGTTTGCATAGATAGGAGGAACCCAGTATAGCTTAAAGGTACCCACTTTAGGCCTAGTTGGGGCAGATAGCTCGGCATCCTTGCGGGTACAAGTAATCCACAGGGCTTGAGATTTAGGGTTGGGGGTGTATAGGGTTTAGGGATCCCCTCCCCCCAGTACTCAAACCTCCCACTCCCCCAACAAAAGATGTCCCCACCCCCCCCAGTTGAGTACTTGCTGGTAGTACGGTGGAAAACTGTATTATTGAGGGGGGGAGGCTTTCTCTTTTGGATGTAGGGGAGCTTGGGTACCTTAGGTCTGAAATGGTATGTGCGATGCAAGTTTGGACGAAGTGTATGATTATCAGCCTTGCGGCATATTCAACGGGGATGCAACCATCCCCAAGAAATGGGCCCTATCTTCCTCATGGTTTTCCACATGTTAGAACAATCGAAAGCGTGCGTGTGAGTGGTTCCCATTCCTCCCACCTCCCCAGCAATAAAGGGCATAAGCGATATCTTCTTGAAGCCCTTTCTTGTAAAAATCTCCCACGCGCCCTCAGCAAGACCCCCTGAGCCTCAAAACTTTAACCCTAAACCACATATGTGACCACAAACCCCTTCCGGAGACAGAAATGCGGAGGTGGAAGATCAATTGCAGGAGGCATGCGGTCCAAGTCAGAGGGAACTTGCAGCTTGTTCGTAGGGATCGAGTGGAAAAGAACAAGGAAACTCTCATGTTCTTGGGGGTAGTACGGGACTACTATACAGATCCGTTCCCCCATTTCTCTCTATTTGCAACCGGAAGGAAGGGGTTCGAGGTTGAGGTCCCAAAGCTTGAAACTTCAAGACTCAGGGATTCAGGAGCTAGAGGTTCTGTAAAAGAAAACGTTGCGGGTTCAGGGCGTATAGGGGTTTCAGGGCTTAGGGATCAGGGCGAAGAACTTTGGGGAGTAGTGAGAAGTTGCGAACTCATACACGAAGCGTGCTCCTGCGTAGCCGAGGTTTTGCTGCAGACATTAAAAATATGCTCCTGGCATAGGTTACGAGGAGTAGTGTGCATGGGGACGACTTGTTGGTTCCCGTTTAGGGCCTTCCAAGCCCTAAACCAACATGCAAATGTTGTCGCAAAACTGATATCGCACATGCCAGCACCCATCCCCACCGTATCCAGATATTACATGCTTCGACTCTCTGGGCAAAGCCCGAAACGCTTAACCTGAACCCTAAACTCCAAATCACTTTAAAGTCTAATTACTCTTTTCCTGGGCCCCAAAAGTATGTAGAATAATGGCCTTTTGGGCTGTGTTTAGGGTGTTGTGCGTTTTGGGCTACTATTTTATTTGGCATTTAGGTATATCATAGATACATTTCTTTAGACCCCACTGAGCACTAGTAAGATGAACGGTGCACCAAGGCCCGAAACCCTAAATCCTAAACCTTATAAGCCCCATAAACTCCAAATCCCATAAGCACTATAAGCCCTATAACCTCCAAATCCCATGAGCCTTAAGCCCTACAAACTCCAAATCTCAAATTCTGAGAGGTGCACCAAGTGGTGGCTTCCAGCAAAGCCTTCGCTGCTCTCACCGCTGCGGGGCCGGAGCCCTGGTGTTCCATAAGGGTGCTCAAGATGAGGATAGCCTAGGGGCTTAGGGTTCAGGGCCTAGG